TAGCTCTTCTGAATTGTTGGGTCTGGTGTATTGCATCTTCTTCTTCACAATACCCCATAGATTTTCTATGGGGTTAAGGTCAGGAGAGTTTGCTGGCCAATTAAGAACAGGGATACCATGGTCCTTCAACCAGGTACTGGTAGCTTTGGCACTGTGTGCAGGTGCCAAGTCCTGTTGGAAAATGAAATCTGCATCTCCAAAAAGTTGGTCAGCTGCAGGAAGCATGAAGTGCTCTAAAACTTCCTGGTATGTGGCTGCGTTGACCCTGGACCTCAGAAAACACAATGGACCAACACCAGCAGATGACATGGCACCCCAAACCATCACTGACTGTGGAAACTTTACACTGGACTTCAAGCAACGTGGATGAAGTGCCTCTCTTCTTTTCCTCCAGACTCTGGGACCTTGATTTCCAAAGGAAATGCAAAATTTACTTTCATCAGAGAACATGACTTTGGACCACTCACCAGCAGTCCAGTCCTGTTTCTCTTTAGCCCAGGCAAGACGCTTCTGACGCTGTCTGTGGTTCAAGAGTGGCTTGACACAAGGAATGCGACAGCAGAAACCCATGTCTTTCATACGTCTGTGTGTGGTGGTTCTTGAAGCACTCACTCCAGCTGCAGTCCACTCTTTGTGAATCTCCCCCACATTTTTGAAGGGGTTTTGTTTCACAATCCTCTCCAGGGTGCGGTTATCTCTCTTGCTTGTACACTTTTTTCGACCACATCTTTTCCTTCCCTTCGCCTCTCTATTAATGTGCTTGGACACTGAGCTCTGTGAACAGCCAGCCTCTTTAGCGATGACCTTTTGTGTCTTGCCCTCCTTGTGCAAGGTGTCGATGGTCGTCTTTTGGACAACTGTCAAGTCAGCAGTCTTCCCCATGATTGTGTAGCCTATAGAACTAGACTGAAAGACCATTTAAAGGCTTTTGCAGGTGGTTTGAGTTAATTAGCTGATTAGAGTGTGGCACCAGGGGCCATCAATTTTGAACCTTTTCACAATATTCTAATTTTCTGATATGATGAATTTGAGATTTTCATTTGTTGTCGTTTGTAATCATCAAAATTAAACAAAATAAACATCTGAAATATATGAGTTTGTATGTAATGTATGAATATAATATACAAGTTTCACTTTTTAAATGGAATTACTGAAATCAATCTACTTTTTCATGATATTCTAATTTTATGACCAGCACCTGTAGACTATGGGTATGCTCATCTGAAAGAGCACCGGGAATCAAACCGGGAACTTTCTTGCTGCAAGGCAGTAGTGCTACCCACTGCGTCACTGAGCAGCCCATAAATACATTCTGTTGTTTAAATGAAAACTTCCCTTCTGGATTTGTATCTGAGAAATGTAACTTTGAGCATAAAGTTCTCTTTCGTATATTTAGCTTTGGTGAGGATGCTTACTGACCTGCATTTTCTTTAGCTTATGCTGAAAATGTGCGGGTGTCGGTTGGCGCCTGGTGTCCACTACAGGGAGGGCACAGCGCACCTGTGCAGGTAGAACCAAGAAAACTAGGTTGAAGAGGCTTTTCTCCCTCTGTGTTTCATTTTGTTTGTGTGGAGCATGAAAAGCTGGTTCATTCTCTTGTTAAAAATAACAGGTCCTTGGCCTTAATGTTGGAAAGCAGCGAAATATTCACAGCTGCCCTCTTCATTTGCTCATGAAAGACTTGATTCAATGTTTTTTCTTCTTTGTTGATCAAAGCCCTTGTTATGTTGGTGGTTTTCAATCGGAGTGGATGATCTGGTGAACTGTAAAGTGCATTGAGATCACATGTGTTGTGAATTGGCGCTATAGAAATTAAACTGAATAGAATTGACTCCAGTATGAGAGATTAGTGCAAAGTTAGGGTTAGGGTTAAAAATATGATTTATTCAGCTGTGCTGCTTGTTTTGGATAAGCTGCAAAATTAGAGCAAATTCAGTTTCGGATTTCTTTCAATATGAACATGTTTCCCAATTTGAATGATAAACTAAGCCGTATTGATTAAGACTAAGGAGAATATAATTGTATTGACTTTAAATTTGTATATATTAGTTTACTGATTCAATATGCTTTTGTGTATCATTTCTATTTTGCGTTGTAACTAACATTCACTGTAAATTTGTGCTAGATTAAAATCCATTTTGTAATGGAAAAAAAAAAAACGTAATCTAACAATCTCCCTGGTACATCCTCCTTGTCGCCTCCTACCTTTTTGCAGTGTCTGTCATAGTGGCTCTGGTCCCATCGCTGCTGCAGGTAGCGGCTGGTGACCGGGTTGAAGGGCTGGTAAGACCTGTGCATATCAATGCAGTAACAGCCTTTAATTCAGCCCAGCAGCAGGAGAAGCAGTCACAGCATGTGAGCTGGAGTTTGTTTGAACGTTGTTGCCCAGAGACGTTACCCCCCCACCACACGCACACACACAGAAATACAGCTCATGCATAACCCCCCCCCCCCCGCCCACACATGAACGGGCACAAACACATACACATGCAGCCTTACTTTTTATTTGAATTAAAACTGTACTATTATCCTTTTATTGCACTAAACATCAATCTAGATGCACATCATTTCCTTATTTTGGGCAGTAAGAACTGCATTTCTAACAATGCATCTTAAAAAAACGGGCTGCATTGATATGCACACCCTTAAACTAATACTTGGTTGGAGCACCTTTCGCTTTTATTGCATCACTCAGTTCTTTTGGGTAGTGCCGATCAGTGTGGCACATCTTGATGTGGCGATAATTGCCCGGTCTTCTTTGCTAAACTGCTCCAAATCTATTGCCTCTTCAGATCATCTATTAGATGTTTGACAGGATTCAGGTTTGGACTTTGGCGGGGCCCTTCTATAGCCTCAGTCTTATTCCAGTGAAGCCATTCTCTTGTTGATTTGGGTTGTTTTCATGCTGAAAGATGAAGTTCTTCTTCATCTTTATTTGTCTAACATGGGCTGAGTGTTTAATGCCAACACTGGCTGTTTAAAGTTCCCTCCACCTTGACTACGCTGAGGAAAAAACAGTCCCAAAGCATGATACAGCAACCACTGCGTTTCATTCTAGATGTGTTGCTCCTTTGGTGATAAGCAGTGTTATTTTTACACAAAATATCTCTTTTTGGAACTATGTCCAAAATATTCCCCCTTGGTTGCATGAGATCATAACACATTTTACATAACAGGAACTGTATATTAGACAAGGGTGTGTAGAGTTTTTATATCTGGAGCAGCCTCAGTCCAGCTCCACTCCGGTCCATGATCCACCCTTCCGCTCCAGCTCTGCTCTGATCCATGATCCAGTCCCCCGCCCTGGCTCTGCTCAGACTCCAGTCCGTGGTCCAGTCCCCCGCTCCGGTGCTACTCCGACTCTGGTCCGTGATCCAGCCCTCCGCCCCAGCTCCACTCTGCTCCGTGATCCAGGCCTCTGCAACGGCTCTGCTCCGGTCCGTGATCCAGTCCTCCGCTTAGGCTTAGTCCGTGATCCAGTCCTCCACTGCAGCTCCACCCTTCCGCTCCAGCTCTGCTCTGATCTGATCCATGATCCAGTCCTCCACCCCAGCTCCACTCTGCTCCGTGATCCAGGCCTCCGCTCCAGCTCCGCTCTGGTCCGTGATCCAGCCCTCCGCCCCAGCTCTACTCTGCTCCGTGATCCAGGCCTCCGCTCCAGCTCCGCTCTGGTTCATGATCCAGTCCCCGAACCTGGCTCTGCTCTGACTCTGGTCCGTGATCCAGCCCTCCGGACCGGCTCTATTCTGGTCCGTGATCCAGCCCTTCTCTACGGCTCCACTCTGGTCCATGATCCAGTCCTCCACCCCGGCTCTGCTCTGGTCCGTGATCCAGTCACCCGCACTGACTCTGCTCCGACTCCAGTCCGTGATCCAGTCCGGTCCGTGATCCAGTCCCCCGCACTGACTCTGCTCCGACTCCAGTCCGTGATCCAGTCCGGTCCGTGATCCAGTCCCCCGCGCCGGCTCTGCTCCGACTCCGGTCCGTGATCCAGTCCCCCGCTCCTGCGCTGCTCCGACTACGGTCCGTGATCCAGCCCTCCGCTCCTGTTCCACTCTGGTCTGTGATCCAGCCCTCCGCACGAACAGTGCTCTGGTCCATTATCCAGTGCCCTGCGCCGGCTCTGCTCCGGTCTGTGACCAAGCCCACCGCTCTGGCTCCACTCCTGTCCATGATCCAGCCCTCCCTTCTGGCTCAACTCTGGTCAGCGATGCAGCCCTCCGCACGCGCTCCGTTCTGGTCCGTGATCCAGCCCTCCCTGCCAGCGAAACTGCGGTCTGTGATCCAGTCCCCCACATCAGCTCCGCTCTGGTTCGTGATCAAGCCCTCTGCCCAGTTCTGCTCTGTCCGTGATTAAGTTCTCCGCTCCGGCTTCGGTCCGTGATCCAGCCCTCCGCACCAGCTCCGCTCTGGTCCGTGATCCAGTCCTCCATTCCGGCTTCGGCCCGTGAACCAGCCCTCCGCCCCAGCTCCTCTCTGGTCCGTGATCCAGTCCTCCATTCCGGCTTTGGTCCGTGATCCAGTCCTCCGTATCATCTCCGCTCCGGTACATGATCTAGTCCCATGCTCCGGCTCCCACTGGTCCGCTCCGGTCTGTGATCCAGTCCCCGCTCCAGCTCTGCTCCCACTCCGGTCCCTGATTCAGCCCGCACCAGCGCCACTCCTGTCCATGATCAACCCCCCGCCCAGCTCTGCTCTGGTACGTGATCCAGTCCCCCGCTCCAGCTTTGCTCCCACTCTGGTCCGTGATGCAGCCCTCCGCACCAGCTCCACTCCGGTCTGTGATCCAGTCCCCTGCTCCGGCTCTGCTCCCACTCCGGTCCGTGATCCAGCCCGCTGCTCAACTCCGGTCCGTGATCCAGTTCCCCGCTCTAGCTCTGCTCCCACTCCGGTCCGTGATTCAGCCCGCACCAGCGCCACTCCGGTCCGTGATCCAGTCCTCCACCCCGGCTCTGCTCCACTCCGGTCCGTGATTCAGCCCGATGCTCCGGCTCCGGTCCATGATCCAGTGCTCCGGGATTTGGGTGTGTTGGAGCCAGCTGCCATTAGCCCCGCAAAGCTACTGGTGTGTCCCTGTCTGTGTCACTGTTTACTGGGATCCCTGCACCTGGAAGCTCCGGAATCTCCCATACAGTCATGGAGAACCTGATGCCGGTCCTGGTTCCGTCCAGTCCGGAGAGCTGACCGGCTGTTTCTCGGTTTTTTCTGTGTCCTTCCCGCGGAGCTGACTGTGATGGCTGCTGTCCATTGAACTGGGAGCACGTTGACCGCTTTGACTCAGCAGCTCAGGAACCTTGTCTTGGTTGTCATCGGTGTGACTAAAGGAAGCTGCGGACAGTGAATGAATATTTCCCGGAGCGGGTGAGTGGATCGGTCCTCTGAGCGATGCTAGGCGGCCATCCTCCCAGTTAGCTTAGCGGGCTAGCTGCTGTCTTTGTCTGGAAGCTAAGGGACGTGAGTCCATCATCGGACACGTCCTCCTGTGACCCGCTGGTTTGCTTTGACCTTAAACTAACCGCTGCTCTGCTGCTCCGCTAATTTCGCCTTATCTCTGGATAAATTTCAAAGCTTTAGTTTATCATGTTTTGGTTCAGGAGCGGATTTTGGCTGCAGCCAGTAAACACGAAGCTCAGGTATTTTCATTGTTTTCACGCTGCTGCGATGTTTGTAAAACTTCCCAAAGCTCCACTAGGTGCGTTTTATGGGCTTATATCCTAGAATGACAGTTAAATTAATAATTAAAACAATAAAATGCTCTTTAATCAATGATCCGTCGTTAGCCCGTTCAGATAATCGGTCAGAATCAAACACAGCAAAGCAGGTTTCAAACTAACGCGGATATCTACAGGGTTTGACACGTACAGATGATTAAATTACATTTGTTTGACTCTATTAAAGACATGTGGAAATAACTCGGGACGATATTTGGGTGCAGCTTGACAGGCGTGACGGATAGTCCACCTGCGTCCGATAATAGACGCCGCTAGCCTGTCAGCGGGCCATGCTGGGCCTGGGTTAGCAGCGGACATTATCAGCCGAACCGTTACCCAGCGAGAGGCAGCCTTCTGTGGGAGTAACGGTGCTGATATCGACCTGAAGCCGCCATGAGGCCATGGTTCTACGGGGGAGGCTTGTTGGTAATCAGCGGTGAAACTGTTGGGCCGAGGCGCGAGCCGCAGCTAACAACTGCACCGAGCTAACAGCAGCTAACGGTAGCTAGCTGCTCTCAGTGTTCCGTGAGAACAAACGGTTCACTGTCACAACTTTCTATCTATAGAATGATTTTAGCGTTTAAGGGCAGCTGCAGCAAACATTCTACTTTTAGAAAGTGCTTTCATCTTAGTTCCACAGTAAATATAGTCTATATAGTTCCCACATGAGGGAACCTGATGGTACCAGGAACCTGGAAGCAGATTTCCACCTTCAAACAGAATCACCATACCTGGACACCATACCTAGGGCCCCAAGTTCCCAGGGGCCCCATAAAACTCTGTTTCCATGTATGGTTAATACAACTATTCACCATATTGGATCAGTCCATTTGCTGCACATGTTCAGAAAGGTCCAAACAGACAGCAGCAAACCATTTGAAAACAAACCATGCAAAGAGCAGTGTTGCCAACTTAGCGCTTTAGTCGCTATATTCAGCCACTTTTCAGACCCCTCTAGCACTTTGATTTCAAAAAAGTGCCTAGCGCCAAATCTAGCGACTTTTTTCTGCTACTGGAGACTTTGGAGACAACATCTATAAGCGTCTTGGGGAAAAAAAGCAGGGAAACCTCTGAAACAGAGGTGGACAATTCCAGCTGCTGAGGGCCGGTATCCTGCAACTTTTAGATTTCCAGCTTTTTAATGTCATTATGCTGTCACAAGTACAGAGGTGAACCCTCTGCATCTAACCCTTGGCGAGCAGTGGGCTGCCACTGTGTGGCATCCGGGGAGTGGTGTGTGGTTAAGGGTGTTACTCACGGACCCAGAGTGGAGGCTGCGGGGATGGGGCTCAAACTCGTAACCTCTGGATTCCAGGCGCTATGCTCTAACCAGCAGGCCACCGCTCCCCTGAGATGAGCCTTTTAGTTCAACACACCTGAATCAAGTAATGAGATGATTGAGAGGAACTGACTGCGTAATGAGAAGATGTTGGACCAAGGATGGATCTGGAAATCGCAGGATGCCAGTGTTCTGTCAGACCAGCATACCCATAGTCAGTACGCATCCACAAGACGTCACATTTGCATTTATTCCTTTAATTTTGTACGAAAAATAGACTTTAAACTACCTCAACGGACATGTATATCTTTAGTCATGTACCAAAAAAGCTATTTATGCCCGCTAAGGTAGTTTAAAGTTTATTTTTTGTACAAAACTAAAGGGATATATGGGTTTTGACTATGGGTATGCTGGTCTGATGGGGCAATGCTGGTCTGACACCCCTGCTCTAAAACCTGCAGGACGGGTAGGCATTTGGGTAGACAGTTTTAGACCATGCATGTATAAAATACTACAAATCTAAACAAATATATAAGTTATTTACGTGTCTGTTTACTTCTGCTATTTTATGTTGATCCACCTCATATTGATCTGTATCAATAACAAATCCATAATCTCTGCTTTTTCACTTGAAGGTGTTTGCATAGTGGTTAGAGCAGAGCTCTGTGCTTTGAGAAGGTTGCAGGTCCCCGGTTCGATCCCCAAAGCCTCCACTCTGGGTCCCCGAGCAAGACCATAAACCCCCACACTGATCCCCAGGCAGCATACAATGGCAGCCCACTGCTCCCAAAAGGGATGGGTTAAATGCAGAGTGGGAATTTCCCCATTGTGAGACATTAAAGAGATTTACATTACATTACCTGTTAACATTCCAAAAAAAAAACAAAAAAAAAAAAACAATCCACTGGACTTTGTTTCCAAGTTTGAAGACGTTTAGCTTTCCATCCAGGAAGCTTTTTCAATTCCAAATCTCTTTTAACACATTATTTAACGCACATTTCAATCCAAAGGCTTCAGGCTGAGGCTGAAACTTCCACATAAACGGAAGTGAAGGATTAAAACCAGACCTCTGTGCTACAGTCGGCTGTTTTAGAGACCGGATGACGCTGTAGTTCCTTTACTGTTCTCAGTGTAGCGTCACAGAGCCGTCACCAGGGGGCCGACCTGCAGAAACGGGCCGGTGATGCTTGGCAGTGGTTCTGGTTGGGCCTTTCCTGACGGCCTGGGACTGTGGAGCAGAGAACGGCTTAACAGGTCAGAGCAGGCTCCCTCTGACTTCAGGGTGACGGTCTTCTGTCATGAGCATACCCCATCAGACCAGCATACCCACAGTCAATACCCCTTTATCCCTTTAGTTTATACCTTTAGTTTTGTACAAAAAAAAACGATTTACTTTTTGGTGTTTTTTGAAGCATATGGCGATCTGCTCTTAAATAGTTTGTTTTGTCCACTAAAAGGATACACGCCCGTTGAGGTAGTCTAAAGTTTATTTTTTATACTAAACTAAAGGGATAACTGCAGATCTGCCCTCTGGTGCATATGTATGGACTGGTCTGACAGCACAATGGTTGTGAGGAAAGCTTCAGCCTCTCAGATGTTCAGCATGTGTGGTGGGTCGATGTTAGTCCATAGATGGCTCCCCGCTCTTATTTTGAAGTGCACCTGAGCTGCTTTGCTCTTCCTGTCTGGTTCATTCATCCACCTTCTGAGGCGGGCAGTGCCTCTCCATCTTCTATTTTATGGTGTAGAGAGGGACACGCGTCACCCCGACTCTGACATAGATCCAGCTCGGTTCTGAGTGTTTTAGCTCTAACAGAACAAAGTGTTTCCTGATGGGGTCTGAACCCAGAAGCCTGTTCTGTGCGGTTTGCTAACAGTAATCAGACTATGAACACACAGAGGAACCACAGACCTATGCGGAAGGTTCTGTTGAATTCTGATGAGGACTGGTTAAGAAACATGAACTCTTCGTTCAGTCAATCAGAGCCTGGATGTGGAGGTGATGGAGGACGAAGGAGCGCAGCAGGGATGAATCAGTTAAAATGACAGATGGAAAAATAATGTTGACTTAGGTTAGTGGAGGATCGTTCAGACCCAGTCCTCCAGAACTCAGTCCCAGCCAATCCTGCTGCTCCTCTCTGCCCTCCGTTGTCGAGCTGATCTGACCCTGAAGCAGCATCATGGTTCTGCTCAGACAGAAGGACCTCAGGAAGCTCCTGGACTCGGGGTACTGTGAGCATCTCTGGTGGAACCAGGACGATGTTGTTTGGCTTTTCATGTTAAAGGAAAAGATATTCAGAATCCAAACTATATGAAATTATTCCATCCTGTTCAATAAATGATCAGTGTTTTTAATTGAGAGTAATTTTCATGTGACTGTGCTTTACTGGAGGCATCCATGTTTGTCAAAGAACACTACTGCCACCTACTGGTTTGTGACGTCACGGTGCGGCATCGGCTGTTGATCAAGTCCCAGTGCTGTATCTGGTGTTTGTCACAACACGCTATTATCCAAGTCATCTTGAAAACATTCGGCTACATATTGGCTACATATTACGTTTTTTTTTCTCTGGCCAGAAGTTCGATGGTAAATCCTCCCTCTTCAAGTTGGCGATCCAACGACCAACCGGTTCATGGAGGATCAGGAATCAGAAAGGTGGAATAACTATTTTTTTTCCACTTTTACCCGATGTATTCCAACATCCAGCTGCCATGCACGTGGGCATTGTCAGTTTCACTATAGCTCTGGTGAATTTCAATGGTGAAGTCCTCTGGAAATCTTCAATAATTGTTGTTGATTGCAGATGTGTCTAGTAGTTCCCATTGATTTTGCTTGTAAAGCGGGGAGAATGGCGCTAGGCTTACCGCACAGTGACGTCACTGCTGGAAGATGGCAGGAGGGAGGGGTTACAATATTTGAGCATAAATGGCCGCTCCCAGACTCGGTGATTATTATTGTTGTTACTGATTAATCTTAAATTCATTAAATCACCGCAAATGTATTAGTTTTACGGATAAATAGTGATCCATTGATTATTCCTGGCTGACCGGACTTTTTTTTAAGGCTTGTAACTCATTTGGTAAAGTCCAGGTCTGCCATGTTGGACCTGGATGGAAGCTTCTGCTGTCTGACAATGTGGAGACGCCGTTAGAGCACTGCTCGCATGAATCATTGGTGAACGAGGCTATATATATATATATATATATATATATATATATATATATATATATATATATATATATATATATATATATATATATATATATATATATATAATAATAATAATAATAAAAACTCAGATCTGATTTTTCTCCCAATTCAGACTTTTAAACAAAAAACAATAATCAGAACCGCCTTCAGCAGCAATGAGCCCAGCTCCTCTAAGGGTTGGAAGTTTCTTCCGAGTGGTGTTTTATTTTTCCAGGATTTTTCCAGCTGGAAGAAACTTAGGTCAAATTTACTGGAAATTTTGTTTCTTTGGTTACATATTTTGCTTTAAGCAGGTCCAGATCCAGAAATAAAAGTCAAAAACAACCCACTGGACTTTGTTTCCAAGTTTGAAGACGTTTATCTTCCATCCAGGAAGCTTTTTCAATTCAAAATGTCAGAAATAGTGTTGAGTTCCAGTTTTTATAGAGTGGACTAACAAAGCCTTGTTTTGCATGTTTTCTAAGCCAAAACAAGGCTTTGTTTTTTTTGCTTTTTCTTTGGAATGGCTATGACCTGGATGAGTGAGAATCTTCACCAGCTTAAGGTGGGGTTCATTATCTATAAACCGGGGGGCGGAGCGACTGGAGAGCTCAAGTGAGAAGCCACCCGTCCCCTTGCTGGGGGGAATGAGCTGCCAGTGTGGGTCCTTGGGCAAGACCCTTTATGCTAACGCCTGCTTTGGTTAGAGCATAGAGTCTGGAATCCAGAGTTTCTGAGTTCAAGCCCCACTCCCACAGACTCCCACTATCTGAATCCCTGAGCATAGATCTATGACCCCACACTGCTCCCCGGGCGCCGCACAATGGCAGCCCACTGCTCCCCAAGGGGAGGGGTTTAATGCAGGGAGTTTATTTCATTACTCTGTACTGGTGATGGTGGAATGACAATAAAATGTTTAAAGCAGAGGTCACCAACATGGTGCCCACAGGCACCACATGGGGGGTACCATAGCATCTTATGAGAACAGAACAACTCACCAGTGGACAAAGTTTGAAATGTTATATTATGCTGCTGTTCTTATTTCATCATTCATAAAAAATTTCATTATAACAAACATTTAGAACATTTAAGCTTTTTATAGGGATTTTTAGGAATGAAAGAAATAATAGAATGTGTGTTTTTAATGTTTAATAAATGATTTCTCTCTAAATCTTAAGATATTTAAATCAACACTAATTTCTGACTGCACTATTAGCTTGATTTGGGATCCAGCTCGATTGATTGATTAGCTCCATTCATCTCTTGCTGCGTATCGATTCTCCTCTTGGAATCGAATCCGAGTCGCATATAAAGCAGGCGGGGTGGACTGGGCATAAACGATCGATGAAACATTTAAAAAACAGAAAAATTGAACCATGATGGGAGTTCAGGAGGACAGACGGCGGGTAAAATGGTGATACTGTGAAGCTCACCAATAAAACCAGCAGCAGACAGCTCTTTATGGAGGAAAGTTCAACAAACTTTTCATATTTTAATGTAAAAACTACCTGTTCTAAGAGATGCTTCCCAGACTCATGGAGCCGAGCTTTCCTTTGTAGCTGCACTGGTTTTTAAAATTTTCTTTTATTACTTTTTATAATAGTTCTTGGTCAAATATTGGAAATCATTTCAATTTGTGGGGCAAAGTGACAGAAGTAGGAAATGAAAATACCCACCCTGCATCGCAGCAGCCTCTATATGCAGTCAGTCTGACATGGGGAAAAAGTTAGATCGGAGTTTAAAAAGTCGGTCGATCCATCTCTGAATGAGTCATGTGACCAAGAGCAGCCATAGCTGCAATTAAACACCAGAGCTAATTACAGCCCTGCTACGGTCTGAAACTGATCCGTGCCAAGCTCAGTTCCTTACCACCATTTCCACCCCACGCTAGCACGGTTCCTCGCCTTCTAGTGGCCATTTACGGTACTACTGCTCTCTAGAGTTAAAAAAGCAAACCAACATGGTGGCGCACGTGACATTCAGGAAGTAAATTCACCAAAGGCTGCCTTCTTCGCCTGACTCTCCGCAGAGTCTGCTTTTAGGTGGATACGACAAACGATAGTCTCATCAGGGCTTCCAGACACAGGAAACAACTACAGACTTTGAGGTTCATCTCACTGCTAAGCAGAATCATCACTGGAAATCGTGCGGAACGGTAGGGAAGCTAGGATTTTTAGGAATGTCTGAAGTTTTCCTGATTACTGAGGCTGACTGTAAGGAGATGACGTGGTCTGCGCGTCAGAATCCATTCAGAACTGAGCCACGCGAGTCCTACTGATGAACTAGTACCATGGTAGCGCGGTTCGGTTGGGTCTGGTCCGGTTCAATTGTACGTACCATTTCACTCAATAGTTATCTCGGTTACTGTCCTTAGACCTATCTCTGCATGGTTTTATAAGGGTAGTGGAGATGGGGCTTAAGCTCTGACCTGACAGACATGTTTTCGGTTCCGTGATGGAGGATTTCATCTAGAGGTAAAAGTTTCCTCATCTTTAAGAACTCCAGGACCTGCTGGTCCAAACTGGTCTGATACCAGAACGCTGAAGTAGACTGGATCATTTAAAGACTATGCAGTTCTGCCAGTGGCCTATAGGGGGAACGAAATCTGAAAGCTAAAGGTCTAGTGCCCCTAGTGGTTAAAAGTTGTTTCTCCAAAAGAGAAAAGACTAGTTAAAAAAAAATAAAATAAAACTAAGAAACCAAAATTGAATTCAGACTATTTATGTGAAACCTTGGAGCCAAAGAGGGGGAGGCGGGGTGGGGGGTAACCATCTCCTGTGGAACCAACTACCAGTTTTAGTCCGTGAGGCAGACACCCTGTCTACTTTTAAGGCTAGGCTTAAAACTTTCCTTTTTGATAAAGCTTATAGTTAGTGGCTCAGGTTATCCTGAGCTATCTATAGTTATGCTGCTATAGGCTTAGACTGCTGGAGGACGTAGGGACCCCTATTTCATCATTCTGCTTCATTCTATCTCTATTCTCCCACTCTGCAGATTCTGTTTGTTCAGTCTCTAAGGCTCTGCTTGACACTATAGAAATAAACTGACTTGACTTGAATCTCTGCTTTCTCCAGGGGAAGAGGAGCTGCTTGAAGCCGGCAGATGATGCTGTCATTAAGGCCCTGCTGAGGATGAACTGAAGCTCATCTAAGGTCTGAGATGGGTCGGCCTCAGTCTCTTCTGGTCAAGGTAAGGGAGTTCAGACAGACCATCCGGTGGTACCGACCATCAACAAACTCTTAACACAACCTTTCCAAACATTTTAGTTATAGTTTGGAGGCTTTCATTTATTATTATTATTTCACAAACCCCCCAAACTACCAGCCTCCATATTAGCAGCCAATCTTGGGCCTAAGATCTGTCCTGCTCACAGCGTGTGAACCATCAGGTGAAAGCTGAAGGTCATCCAAAAGAGTCCAAGTCATCAAAGCAGCCGCTTTTCCAGAAAGCCTGAAGTTTTTTTTTTACTTTTTACGGCACTAGTGGCTCGTTTTTTTATGGACAGTAGGCTGACAATGGAAGTGCCAATCTAAAAAATTCCATCAAGACTGGAGAACCCGCCAGAAAAGGGCAAAAAAATTGTACAATGTACGAATTTCCAAAGTTATCACAGATGTGGTCCCATCGCCACATTGAAGCAGCCGTTCATCCTAGTTTATGGTGTGTTCTGTTTGTTCTGGACACGTCTGGGGTGAAAAATAGAACTGGAGAAGGAAATAAAACCCACCTGGACCCTTCAGCAGTTCGTCCTTATCTGCTGTTTAGTCACACTGTTTATACAACACTAGTGAATACTGGTGGACACATCCAGGACAACCCATCACCTCAGAGATTACACGGCCCATTAGTGATGGCTACAGACTAGTGATGGCTACTGACTAGGGATGGCTACTGACTAGTGATGGTTACTGACTAGTGATTGTTACTGACTAGTGATTGTTACTGACTAGTGATGGTTACTGACTAGTGATGGTTACTGACTAGTGATGGCTACTGACTAGTGATTGTTACTGACTAGTGATTGTTACTGACTAGTGATTGTTACTGACTAGTGATTGTTACTGACTAGTGATGGTTACTGACTAGTGATGGCTAATGACTAGTGATTGTTACTGACTAGTGATGGCTACAGACTAGTGATGGCTACAGACTAGTGATGGCTACAGACTAGTGATGGTTACTGACTAGTGATGGCTACAGACTAGTGATGGTTACTGACTAGTGATGGCTACAGACTAGTGATGGCTACAGACTAGTGATGGTTACTGACTAGTGATGGCTACAGACTAGTGATGGCTACAGACTAGTGATGGCTACTGACTAGTGATGGCTACAGACTAGTGATGGCTACAGACTAGTGATGGCTACTGACTAGTGATGGTTACTGACTAGTGATGGCTACAGACTAGTGATGGTTACAGACTAGTGATGGCTACTGACTAGTGATGGCTACAGACTAGTGATGGCTACAGACTAGTGATGGCTACAGACTAGTGATGGCTACAGACTAGTGATGGCTACAGACTAGTGATGGCTACTGACTAGTGATGGCTAATGACTAGTGATGGCTACAGACTAGTGATGGTTACAGAATAGTGATGGTTACAGACTAGTGATGGCTAATGACTAGTGATGGCTACAGACTAGTGATTGCTACAGACTAGTGATGGTTACTGACTAGTGATGGTTACTGACTAGTGATGGCTACTGACTAGTGATGGTTACTGACCTGTGATGGTTACTGACTAGGGATGGTTAATGAGTTATCTTGAAGCCAAACTATTGTGGCTGCATTGATTCTGCCACCTGTTCGACATCCAGGAATCTTTTTCAAGAAGATCTCTGAAAGGGGGGGGTCGTTAAAGGGAATTGTTGGCCTGGCTGAATAGAGACATAGACAGGTATGGGGCATTGCAGGCTAACAAAGAGGCCAAACGACCCCCATTCCAAAGGGGTGAACCCCGTTCATCCGTTTCTATTTGCATGTTTTCTAAACCAGGGGTCTTCAACGTTTTCAAAGCCAAGGACCCCCAAACTGATGGTGAGATGGAGCGGGGACCCTCTAATTATAGATATTGTATAAAATAGTGTTCTATCAAACTGGTCCTATAGTCACTATTACTGATGGAGTAATGTAACTAAAGTAATCCCTCCCTGGGATTATTAAAGTATTTCTGATTCCTGGTTGATCGGACAGGTGTTGTGAATGAAACAGTGTCCAGTTTGAAAGAGCTCCTGTGTGTCTCTGAATGTGTGCATTGATGACTGAAAGACATCTTCTGCCTCCATTTATGTTTACTACAGTCTGTTGAATTCATGTTAATGTGGATTTAAAGACATTTTAATTAGTGGGAAAAATTGCAGCAGGGAATATAAAAAAAAAAGTAATCATCCAAAACTTGGATGATTACTACAAAACGACCCCCATGCAGTACCCCCATGCAGTACCTCCGCGGACCCCCTAGGGGTCACGGACCCCCTGTTGAAGACCTCTGTTCTAAATAAAAACAAGGCTTTGTTGGGCTGCTGGATAAAACCTGGAACTCAACGCTATTTCTGACATTTTGAATTGGAAAAAGCTTCCTGGGTGGAAGATAAACGTCTTCAAACTTAGAAACAAAGTCCAGAGGATTGTTTTGAAATTTTTTGGACTGACTCTGACCTGGATGACTGAGAATCTTCACCTGCAGGTCTAACTTGTAATCTTTTCCTTCTCAGGAGGCGATGCAGGAAACGGTGCGGAGGAGAAACAGGCTGCTGCCCTGAGCAGGCTCACTGCTGTAGGGAGGAGCGCGGCCTTCCTGCCGCCCCCCTGCGGCCCCTCCGTGGCGCTCTGGGACGTTTTGACTAAGATGTCCCTCAGCAGCAGCCCTGCAGGTGGGAAAGGTGTGGACTCCAATGCGGTGGACACTTACGACAGTGGTGACGAGTGGGACATCGGTGTTGGGAATCTGATCATTGACCTGGATGCTGATTTAGAGAAGGACAAGTTAGAGATGTCGAGTAGTAAGGAGGGAGGAGCCATGGCGGCGCCCCCTGGTGCCGTGGCCGTGTTACCAGACAACATAAAGTTTGTCAGTCCTGTAGCCGCCATGCAGAGCAAAGATGGTAAATCCAAATCGAAGCGCAGCAAAAACTCCAAAGAAAGCGGAAAGACGTCAGTCCTGGAAGCAGCTAAGAAGGAGGCTCAGAGTAGGACCCAGGGAGACCTGAACCCCGGCGCTGCTCCAGCTAAAGGAGCTGATGCAAAGATAGGTAAAGCCTCCCGCAAAGATGCGGCGTGTGGCAAAAGCAAGAAGGAGAAATTGGAAGCTGCCGCCACGCGGATGGCGAACAGTGAGAAGGACTCTGTAGTCGCCCCTCGTAACAGCTCCTTTGAGAACCCGCTGAACCCTGACCTGAGCCCTGTGGACCAGTTTGGGAACCTGGCGCTGGACTCTGCAGGGATCGGCCAGGTCGTCACCATGGTGACGGAGGAGGAGGTGGACGACGGCAGCGACTGCCGCAGCCTGAAGAAAGGTGCCAGCGGTGAGAAGGTGAGAGAATCAAAGTCGTTTTTTTTCTATGTCTCTAAACCAGGGTGGGTTAAAACGACGCCTTCATACGACGTGAGTCTGTCTGTCATCTTCCTCCTGCAGATGGAATCTCCTTTCTCATCCTCTGCTCCTCCTCCTCCTCTCCACCTCCTCGGTGCCGCTGCAAACAGCGGTGACATCTCCTCTCCGTGCGAGCAGATCATGGTTCGCACGCGCTCTGTTGCGGTGAACACAGCGGAGGCGGCACTGGCGACAGAGCCGGAATGTCTCGGGCCGTGCGAACCCGGCACCAGCGTCAACCTGGAGGGAATCGTGTGGCAGGAGACTGAAGACGGTGAGCAAACCATCAACCTGCCTTCAGCATCCTGAGGAATCGATTTAGAACCGAACCGATGTCCGTTGTAGCTACCAGATCTGCTTCATGCCAGTGACGTTACGCTACACACCACGCCACATGACGTAAAGCATTTTTGTTGCCCAGACAACGATAATTACATCACTCGGTGTCCGTGGGCCTAGTCAGGAGCTTCTGTAGCCTAACGGCCTGGTTATCGTCCTGCAGCAGAGTGTCTCAGATATTTTTGATTTATGCCTAATATTGAAGCGTGGTCTCCGCTATGTTATTCCACGCCACAACGCCAGAGGACCAATCGGGAGCTAGCTGTGGGTCTAGATATGGCCGAGGCGGTGAGGAAGTGGGGGCACGTTTGACCGACAACGGAGGGACATGATGGCGAAAAAGAGCGGGGATCCAGGTGGAAAAAGAGTCCCAGAGTTCTCGCGCATCTCGCTCTTCTAGCTGGTCCATCTTCAGTCGTTTTCCTCAATGGTGGTCAGACAAACAAAATGGCCAGTAAGGAAATGTTATCATTAAAGATGTGAGTTTGTCACACCCTGCTATGGGCTGCCTATTGGGCGTCAGAACTGACGTTTTAATCTAATTGGGACAGTTCCTCTCTGTGGATATACAGAGATTTGCAAAGATTTGGGAATAGAATGAGACCGGCGTCTTTCAGCTAAGAAGGAAGTGTAATATTTTGATAAGGCTGGAGCCATAGATGTCTAATCATCTGCTATGATGTTACATATGATGATGTGGCAGACTGGAGATGTATAAAATGCCTTTTTAACTGTTAACCAGGGCCACTTCCTGAGAGGGGAGCAGCTGCCCTCTGTATATTCTAGGCAAATTATCCGATCTCAGTAAGATTATAATTTCTATCAGAACTGTTGTCATATCTCCTGGTTATTTAATAAATATAAGTTTTGAAGTGTTATTTAAAGTCATTGTCGCGAGTGATCTCTTTAAAGGGAAAAGAACCAAAAAGGTGCATACCCAGAGCCCCAAACAGGAAATAGTGTAGAGCAGATGTAGATCTGACCAATCAGAGGCCTCCTTTCTGCTGCAGCTCTCCAAAATTGTAGGTGAGCACAGAGTGTCTGTGGAAGGGGCGGGGCATATCTGCGTTAACTGCGACTTTAGACGCCAATGAAATGTCAAATAGCAAATATAGGAAATATGTTGAGACTCCAAAAGAGATTTGATCCTGAGGAAACGGGTGCAATACACTTCTTCCAAGTGGAGTTGCCGTATGGTGATGTCATAAGATGGGGCGGGGCCCAGAGCGGATCTGGTACCTAGGGCGGGATATTTTCAGCCCTTCCCTCCCCATCGCTGAAAACATGCACTTTCCATTCCTTTATAGAATGGATAGTCCTTTAGAGAATACCACAGGGCTCCATCTAATGATTATTTTACAAATTGATTAATCTGTCTTTTTTTGATTGATAATCGGATAGCAAAAAGTTCCTTAAAGAAGATATTTTACTTAGTTAAAGAGACTTAGACTTGTCAAACCTAATTGTGATTTAGTATAAACAGAGTGTATACTGAGCGGCTCCCACAGAGAAATTATCTTTGAAGGCAGGATGGTAATCTGGATGAACTGACTGCACAGACCATGTTTTCAGGAGGACTTTCTCACTTCAAAATAGATTCAAACTACTTTTTACCCACTGATCACAGCTAATATAGCAAAGCTGCTCTCTGGCATTGAACACAGGAGCAGCAGAAGCATCAGACGCATCTGGACACACTTTACTGGACGGCTGAACTAAATCAGGATCAGAGATGAAGCAGCAGAAGCTACTTTTGATGTGAACGTAGCATTAGTGGGTAGTTTGCTCCACCCAGAACTCCTCCAGTGGAAAAGGTTTTGTTTCTCCTCGTTGAAGTTCTGTAGAAACTTTTCAAGGAAATTTTGCTCTCTGGTTATTAATTGACTAATTGGCTAAATAAACGATAAATTAATTCATTTTCAAAGTCGTGGTTAATTCCAGCCCAGGACGGGATGTCCTTAGATGTGGAGTCCTGTGACCTGCTGGTTGCTCGACGAGGCGTCTGACCACCAGAGGAGGACACCTAAGAAATGCATGATTTAAAGGTCCTAAGCACAGCCCTGGAAGTCCGCCGCTGGCCCCGCCCACTTAGAGCACCCAGTCAACATCTTAGCATATCTTAGCTGGATCTCGACCATTTCAAAAGATAGACTATATTCTATTATTTTCCATGTGAATCCCATATTGTTTATTCTTCTTTGCCTTTTCTATAAAGTGCTTTAAATCAGTCCTAGCTGTCTTTATCCATGCTGGCTCAGATCCTGACCTTTGAAAAAGGAGGCAGGGAAAGCAGAAAAAAGCCTTAGCCTCTCTGCATGCAGTTAGCCTAGCCTTGGAGCTAAACCAGCTCCTGGTAAATGATCCGTCCCTCTCTCCCTCCAACCCAGGACTCCACCTGTCAATCACTCACAAACCATCTGCACTGTGGTGGGAGGTGGTGAGCAAATACACTTCCTGTCACCTCAGGTCGTAGTTTCGCTGCACCCAGAGCTCTCCTATCCTTCTGTATTGCAGAGGAGCTGCTGCACATGTTCAACTTTTAATGAGAGGCAATGGGCAAAGGTTTTTGCGCCCTAGAGTGTAAATGCGTCACTAATCGGACAAAAAATTGAAATGCACTTTATTCTTCAAGATTAAATATTTATCTTGCAGATCTAAAATTTGTGTTACCATATTTCGAAATATAAATTTTAATTTAAAATATAAAAACTGTTAGAAAGTTTTATTGTGCGGGGCGGCGCCCTGGTTCCCTCTATTGATCAGCCGCCTCTGGTTTATCCTCCACCAAGCTGCTCCACCTCCTTCAGATACTCTATTTCTGTTGGCTCAAATGTTGCTTTTTTTTTCTCTATTTTTTTCTGCACTTATGTAAAATCAGAACAAATCTCAAAGCTGATGAGTTTCTTCTTTTCCTGTTTGTTTGGCTGAGAACCGACAGCCAGCTGTGATTGTTTATTACTGTCTGCTCTGCTCTCTGCAGGGATGCTGGTTGTTAATGTCACCTGGAGGAACAAGACGTATGTCGGGACCCTTTTGGACTGCACGAGACACGACTGGGCCCCCCCTAGGTATGCAGGTCCACTGATTTCAGCACTTAGTCAACTTCTCCTGTTGAGTAAATGGACCTGGGTTATCTAGTCTTTAGGCTGCAGCATAAATCCGTTCTTCTTTGTTCGTTTTCTATGTCTGCTTCTGTCTCTTTGAACCTCAGCTGGTTTTCCTTGGTTGGAAAACTTTCAATCAATCTGGCTGAATGATCTGGTTTAATCGTCTCTGACATGTTGTGAATTAGTGCTATATTAATAACTGCATTGAACTGATCTGTAAACTCTTTCCTTGATAGAAAAGCTGACGGTAAACTAGCTCCACAGGCAGCTATCTCTGGGAAAGAAACAGTTAGGCTCCTGTCACACCTTGCAGAATTATCCAGCGTCTGCCTGACGTCCCAGAATCTCCTAAAACGCTGGCATACTTTGGATTTTTTTCTATTTTCGGCGTTATACATAGAGTAGGGTTGTCAAAAGTATTGATACTCAAAAAAGTATCAATACTGAAACGTTGTATCCGGATACAATACTCATTTTCAAAAGTATCGATACAGCCATCTAAAGTGCAGAATAGTGGAAAATGCACTTTCAGAACACTGTGATTGAATAATTCTGTGCATTTTTCAGTTTCAGACTGAAAAACATCTGCAAAGCATAGACTAGGAAGGAACACTTAATTTTAATTTTGTAAGTTTTTTATCAAGCTTGCTTAATATTTTGCACAGCATACAACCTCAAAATATTATTCTTATTGTTTTTTTATTTATTTCTTGTATTATTTTATTGATGAAAATATTTCTGTTGAATTTTAGAGTCTTTGTTTTTATTCTTGTGGTATCGAAAAGGGTATAGAGTATCGAATATTTTACTTAGTATCGGTATCGAGTTGAAAAGTTTAGTATGGTGATAACACTAACATAGAGTATTCATAACAAGTTCACAGCTTCTGTCCGACAGCCTAACCACTGCATATGATACGATGCACAAGCATCATTTCGTGGGCATCAGTTAAAGCTGCTCCCCTCATGCCGCCCGCCCCCCAAAAAAAAGAATAAATAAAAAGCAGGTTTTTGGTGTCAGCAGATTGAGCGTCATGTCTGCTAGGAAGTTTGTTGGTGGTGGGCGTGAACGCAGGGAGGATCCATCACCCTCACCCTCTGGCTCACCCTATGATGGGGATGAAGTCTGGAGGAGAACTGACGGTTTCCTCCTGTGAACCCCCTTTATACCAAAACGCTGCCAATACTCCATTAAACAGTAGATGGAAGTTAGAAACAAGTTCAGCGCTCGTCTGGAACACGTCAGCAGAGGTGTCAAGTAACGAAGTGCAAATACTTCATTATTGTACTTAAGTACACTTTCTAGGTATCTATACTTTACTCCATCACTTATTTTTCTTTCTACTTCTGACTTCTACTCATTACATTTTAACACAAGGATCTGTACTTTCTATTCCTTACATTTTTAAAACAATTGTTACACTTGGCTTCGGTTTAATGCAGAGGTCAGAGGATCCACCTGCTGACTAATCCAGACCCAACCTGATTTAAAACATTTATAAATTACTGCATGTTGTCTGAGGACAGTGTCTAAACGTCACTAGCGCCGCTTCTCCTGTTACCCTGAAATCCCTCATCCTCCACTCCGCAAAGCAAAGTCTACAGCTTCCGCAGTTCCTCCAGTATCGCTGCGCTCCAACTTATCCTCTGAGCATGCGTGATATTATCATTAAATTCATAGCAAATTGTGCAGAAATGAACGCTTAATTTAATGACATATTAAAAAAATCTCCATCAGCATCCAGCAGATGTGCGGTTTCTGATGGAGATGAGAAATCTGCTTCCTGGTCTGTTGAAGAACCAATAGTTTGCATCCAATCTTTTAAATAAACGGTGTTAGTTTTTTGAAATATATAAGAATGTTATGCTCTTATTGGTAGTTACCGATCTGTTGTTACAATATATTTTATTTGACAAACCGGATCTTCTCGCCGTTCTTTCTCCTGTTTGGTGCGATTGCAATAGCGGATCTTGACCTGGCCGGACCGGAGCGGAGCCTGCACATTTAGAGTATGTTTGGCTCAACCTGCTGCTGTGAAGCAGGATTCTCCACCATGAACAGAATAAAAATAAATATGGATCCAGGCTCATAATGAGCTCCTTGATATGTGCTTTAGAATGGCTTTGTCTCCATTCATACCCAGGTTTAAAGCCTTGCAGGGCAGCATAAAGCTCACTGCGAACATTAAGACAGAAAAAAGAAAGAAAATAACAAACGCTCAGTTCAGGTGTTTGATAAAATATGGGAATTAGGAAATTTTCTATAAACCAAACTGAACGAATGTTGTTCTCTACTTCAAAAAACAATTTAGATTTTAAAATGGAAACATTTTATATATATTTTTATGTTTTTTATTTAAAAATTCAATGTATAACATAAATTCATAAACTTCTCATTTTATTTCTGTGTTAAATTCTGTTTAAAGTAACAAATCATTAAAAATGTCTCCAGACCTTTACTGGTTGATGATTTTCTTTATTTAGACCTGCTGATTTTTAATTGGTTACCCCTGGTTTAATATTTATAAATATTTATTTCACGTCGTGTGTGTATATGTATATATATATATATATATATATATATATATATATATATATATATATATATATATATATATATATATATATATATATATATATATATATATATATATATATATATATATATATATATATATAGTGGCATCTGGCTGTTTGTTTTAAAGGTTACTTTATACTTTTATACTTTAAGTAGTTTTTGGAGTTCATACTTTTCACTTTAAATTGAGTAAAGAGGCCAAGTTGATACTTCAACTTTTACCAGAGTGTTTTTAAACTGCAGCATCTATACTTCTACTTAAGTAACAAAGGTGGGAACTTTTGACACCACTGCATGTCAGATACATTGACATGCGTTGGAGAGAAGTTATTGATAATTTACTCAGAGGTTTAGGATAAGCTAGACGCCACGACTGATGAGGAACTGACACTGAACGGATCTTTACACATTTATACAAAATGTACCCATAACTTCTCCAACGTATGCCAGAGTTTTTCCAGATTTTCTGTACGTCAGGCAGACGCTGGTCTAAATCAAGGTGTGACAGGAGCTTTAATCAGACAAGCTCTGAGACAGTTTTCATATCAAAGGATGAAAAAGAAAACATCCATTTAGTCAAAGTTGAAGCTGAGCCCATTGCTATAGGAGAGAAATTGGACAAAACACTGAAAAACAGGTCAAACCATATCCTTTATCATCTTATTCCTGGTTATCTCCTACAGAAAAATGTTTTGATTTTGGCTGGTTAATCTGAGGCCATGTTCTGTTCCACCCCTTAGTGACAGGAGTACAGGGAAAAAGATGACCACTTTAAAGTTTCCCATCAACTGCAAAGATTTGGGATTTATTTATTTATTTTTAGATTGTTTAAATATTATATTTTTTCTTAGTATCAAATAAACATTTACAAGGACACAGAGATGAATGCTTGGATTGCCAGGTATCAGTGGTATTTATAGACTTTTCCAGCATTCGTCTGCTTGAAACCTACGATCAAACGTTTCATTCTGCCGCCTTGAAGCGGTGACTCGTTTCTTATGATGCTTATTTTACAAGCTGACAAAAAACCTTCAGTAAATACTCATCTTCTCTCGCGGTTTGTTTGCAGGTTTTGTGAATCCCCCACCAGCGACATGGACATGCGCAGCGGCCGTGGGCGGGGCAAAAGGGTGCGGCCCGGCACCAACGCGCCGCTGAACGACAACAGCAACTCCTCTGACAACAAAGGCGGCGGGAGCAAGACCCGCGGAGCGGCCGCCAACAGCAAAGGGCGGCGGGGCGCGGTGGTGGGCTGCGGGGAAGATACCAAGGCCAGCCCGTCCTCTGCCAAGAGGAAAACCAAACCCGTGTCCGATATGGACCCTACCTCCAGCTCCGAGGACTCTAAGGCCTCAAAGCGCATGAGAACCAACTCTACCGGGGTTGCGACGCCTCTCCCTGTGGGGAAAGCAGAAGTCCTGCCCCCCCCACAGCTGGAACGTACTTGCTCCTCCCCCATTCTGATTGACTGCCCGCACCCCAACTGCAACAAAAAGTACAAACACATCAACGGGCTGAAGTACCACCAGGCCCGGGCGCATAACGACCAGAACGTACGGCTGGAACAGGACGGGGACATGGACTACGGCGAGGAGCACGACCCCGCCTCCTGTAACGGCGCTTCCTTCTCCCCGGCTCGATCCAACACCCCCAAAGGACGAGGCTTCGATGCCCCCTCCCCCTCCTCGGGGAAGCAGACGCTGAAAGGGAGGAAGAAGGGGGAGGGCGACGCGGAGGCGACCGATGGCGGCGAGGAGGGGCTGTGTTTAACCGACGAGGCCAGCAACGACGGCGTGGACGACAGAAAGGCCAGAAGAACGTCGGCCAGCAGCAAACCCGAGAAACCGGGTCAGAAAGGAGCCAAGGCGGCCCGGCCTCCGGGCCCCGGGGCCGCTCCCTCATACTCCCCCCACGCGTCTTCTCCTGCTTTGAGCTCGGCCGTCCAGTCGGTACCCAGCAGCCCCCAGCTGAAAAACAGCCAGACCAAACCCCCCCCACTCTCAGATCCCTCCTGCAGCCCCCCCCTTGCTAAAGACAAGAAGAAGAAAGACAAGAAGAAGAGGGACAGCTGGAAGGAGGAGGACAGTCCCGTGGCCATGAGCAAGGCCGGCCGGCCAGAGGAGGGGAGGAGTCCGTACTCCGACACCGCAGACGCTTTGCTCAACGGCTGCGCGGAAGCCCAGCAGAACCGCCTGGCCAGCATCAAAGCCGAAGCCGACAAGGTCTACAGCTTCTCCGACAATGCGCCCAGTCCGTCCATCGGCGCGGCGGGCAGAGCCGAGACCGGCCTCGCTACGCCGCTGCACACGAGCCAGAACGGGGCCGACAACGTGTCCGTGAAGACCGGCAGCCCCGCTTACTCGGACATCTCTGACGCAGGCGAGGACGGAGAGGGGAAGGCAGACGGTGTGAAGGTCAAACCTGATCCCGATCAGGGGCCCCGCGAAGGTGCCAAGAAGGCGCTGTTCCCCCCCCAGGCTCCCAGTAAGGAGTCGCCGTACTACCCCAACTACGACTCGTACTACTCTCCAAGCTATGCCAACCCCAGCCCGGGCGTGGCCACAGGACCTGCGGCTCACCTGGAGGCAGCGAAGGTGAAAAAGGAGGAGGAGTTGGAGGTGGTGGAGGAGGGTAAGCTGAAGGTGGAGCCTCCTGAGGAGAGGAAGGCCGAAGCCGTCCCTCAGCAGCCGTCTGTCATCCAGCAGCGTTCCAACATGTATGCCCAGCCCATGTACTACAACCAGTACTATGTGGCTCCCTACCCCTACGCCTCAGACCCCGCCTACCACAGCCACCTGCTCGCCTCCAACCCTGCTTACCGCCAGCAGTACGAAGAGAGGCAGCGGAAGGGCGACAAGAAGCCAGAGGCCAAAGATCGCGACCCTTCTGCCAAAGAGGAGTGGAAGCAGAAGGCCTCGGTTCCTCCTTCTGTCTCCGGCACCTCCTCAGAGGAGCGTGCCAAGGGAGCGGTGGCCTCTGCAAAGCCTAAGGATCCCACAGCTCCTTCAGAACAAACCAAGTCGGTGATCATGTCTAAAGGAGAGGAGGTCAAGGTCCCCAGCAGCCAGGCTGATGGTCTGAAGATGAAGCTCAGTGAAACGGGGAACCATGGGAAGGAGGAACCCAAAGCAGGGCCGGAGATGGGCAGAGCAGCTGCTGTGGACTCCTCCATGTGGTACAGACAGGTAACATCTGTCACTAGTGATCCTCCACTCTGTCACGATGTATCATAGCAACAACTTTCTTCAAACGATTCATCTTTCAACATTTATACTTTCACTAAACGTTTAGTGGTGCAGAATGGAAATATGTTTCTCGTGAAAAAGAAAAACATCAAAATTCCCCCAAAAAACGAATGTATCTGTTGCTCTTAAAGCTTCTCAGTCATCCAGGTCAAAGTCATTCTAAAAAGGTTTAGTCATGTACAGACCGGCGCAACATCTCGGCCTTTAGTGCAGGGTTTCCACGGGTCGTTAAAAAAAACATTCATTTAAATTAGTATTTTTTTTTCTTTAAAGCCTTAATCCCCATTCAAATGTATCAAATGTGATTATCTTGACATTTAAAATGCTTTATTTAAAAGAAAAAGAAACAATTTTGTCAAATATATTATGTTGTGATATTTTTGCTATATATATTTTCTTCTCAGGAGCCAGACTCGCGCCTGTGGTCCTACATGTACCCGAGTAAATACTCGGAAGCTTCCAGGCTGCAGGAGGAGGAACGATGGAAAGAGGAGAGGGAGCGAGAGAGGAAAGCCAAGGAGGAAAAGCCACGGGTGAAGGAGGGGGTGGAGAGCAGGACGCCACACCCCCCAGAGGAGCACCAGGGCGGAGGGAAGGAGCCCCGCGTCCCCCACATGCAGTTTCCCTCCCCTCTGGCACAGCATCAGGGCTACATGCCCTACATGCAGGGGCCGTACGCCTACAGCCAGGGCTTTGATCCCAACCACCCCGGCTACAGAGGCATGCCTGCTGTCATGATGCAGAACTATCCAGGTAAGACCACAGAGGATCGGCCCAACATCAGAAACCATCAGGAGGCAGAGAGAGAAATGGCAGCAAGTTGGTTTCCTACATGGAGGAGAGTCATTTAACGCTCGTTTTACTGTAAACCACATTTTTTAGAAGACGATGAAATCATGAGAAAGCTGTGGAGGCACCGCCATCGAATACCAGAGTCAGAAACCCAGGGGATGATGGGAGGAGAAGCTTTCAGATGACGGCTGATCCAGGCCAGCAGAATCGGTCTGCCTGGTACCGGTCTTGTTGGTGTAATCAGTCCACTTGGTAACGGTCCGCTTGGTATCGGTCCTATTGTTGTTATTGGTCCTGTTGATACCGGTCCTGTTGGTGTTATCGGTCCTGTTGGTGTTATCGGTCCGTCTGATACCGGCCCTGTTGGTGTTATCGGTCCGTCTGATACCGGTCCTGTTGGTGTTATCGGTCCGTCTGGTACCGGTCCTGTTGGTGTTATCGGTCCGTCTGATACCGGTCCTGTTGGTGTTATCGGTTCGTCTGGTGCCGGTCCTGTTGATGTTATCGGTTCGTCTGGTACCGGTCCTGTTGGTGTTATCGGTCCGTCTGGTACCGGTCCTATTGTTGTTATTGGTCCGCTTGATACCGGTCCTGTTGGTGTTATCGGTCCTGTTGGTGTTATCGGTCCGTCTGATACCGGCCCTGTTGGTGTTATCGGTCCGTCTGGTACCGGCCCTGTTGGTGTTATCGGTCCGTCTGGTACCGGCCCTGTTGGTGTTGTCGGTCCGTCTGGTGCCGGCCCTGTTGGTGGTGCCGGTCCTGTTGGTGTTATCGGTCCGTCTGGTACCGGCCCTGTTGGTGTTGTCGGTCCGTCTGGTACCGGCCCTGTTGGTGTTGTCGGTCCGTCTGGTACCGGCCCTGTTGGTGTTGTCGGTCCGTCTGGTGCCGGTCCTGTTGGTGTTATCGGTCCGCGTGGTACCGGTCCTGTTGGTGTTATCGGTTCGTCTGGTACCGGTCCTGTTGGTGTTATCGGTTCGTCTGGTACCGGTCCTGTTGGTGTTATCGGTTCGTCTGGTGCCGGTCCTGTTGGTGTTATCGGTCCGCGTGGTACCGGTCCTGTTGGTGTTATCGGTTCGTCTGGTACCGGTCCTGTTGGTGTTATCGGTTCGTCTGGTGCCGGTCCTGTTGGTGTTATCGGTCCGCGTGGTACCGGTCCTGTTGGTGTTATCGGTTCGTCTGGTGCCGGTCCTGTTGGTGTTATCGGTCCGCGTGGTACCGGTCCTGTTGGTGTTATCGGTTCGTCTGGTGCCGGTCCTGTTGGTGTTATCGGTCCGCGTGGTACCGGTCCTGTTGGTGTTATCGGTTCGTCTGGTGCCGGTCCTGTTGGTGTTATCGGTCCGCGTGGTACCGGTCCTGTTGGTGTTATCGGTTCGTCTGGTGCCGGTCCTGTTGATGTTATCGGTTCGTCTGGTACCGGTCCTCTTGGTGTTATCGGTCCTGTTGGTGTTATCGGTTCGTCTGGTACCGGCCCTGTTGGTGGTGCCGGTCCTGTTGGTGTTATCGGTTCGTCTGGTACCGGCCCTGTTGGTGTTGTCGGTCCGTCTGGTACCGGCCCTGTTGGTGTTGTCGGTCCGGCTGGTGCCGGTCCTGTTGGTGTTATCGGTCCGCGTGGTACCGGCCCTGTTGGTGTTATCGGTTCGTCTGGTGCCGGTCCTGTTGGTGTTATCGGTCCGCGTGGTACCGGTCCTGTTGGTGTTATCGGTTCGTCTGGTGCCGGTCCTGTTGATGTTATCGGTCCGCGTGGTACCGGTCCTGTTGGTGTTATCGGTCCGCTTGATACCGGTCCTGTTGGTGTTATCGGTTCGTCTGGTGCCGGTCCTGTTGGTGTTATCGGTCCGTCTGGTGCCGGTCCTGTTGGTGTTATCGGTTCGTCTGGTGCCGGTCCTGTTGGTGTTATCGGTTCGTCTGGTGCCGGTCCTGTTGGTGTTATCGGTCCGTCTGGTGCCGGTCCTGTTGGGGTTATCGGTTCGTCTGGTACCGGCCCTGTTGGTGTTATCGGTTCGTCTGGTGCCGGTCCTGTTGGTGTTATCGGTCCGCGTGGTACCGGTCCTGTTGGTGTTATCGGTCCGTCTGGTGCCGGTCCTGTTGGTGTTATCGGTCCGCGTGGTACCGGTCCTGTTGGTGTTATCGGTCTGCGTGGTACCGGTCCTGTTGGTGTTATCGGTTCATCTGGTGCCGGTCCTGTTGGTGTTATCGGTCCGTCTGGTGCCGGTCCTGTTGGTGTTATCGGTCCGCTTGATACCGGTCCTGTTGGTGTTATCGGTCCGTCTGGTGCCGGTCCTGTTGGTGTTATCGGTCCGCTTGATACCGGTCCTGTTGGTGTTATCGGTTCGTCTGGTGCCGGTCCTGTTGGTGTTATCGGTCCTGTTGGTGGTACCGGTCCTGTTGGTGTTATCGGTCCTGTTGTTGGTACCGGTCCACTTGGGTCATTGAACGGCGAGTAGATGGGTTGTTAAAGCGCTGCAGCTCAGGGCAGAACGTTGAATGTGACGAGTGAAGCTAACAGGCGGCTAACTGAGCCTTTCTCTGTGTGACGCTCCCTGTCTTTTGTCCTCAGCTTCATACCTGGCGGCCGGCTATCCCTTCTCTCCGTACGGAGGGAAAGTGGCAGCAGGGGAGGACGGAGAGAAACCCTCCAGGTCGAGTCCAACCGTGAAGCCGCACGGCGAGGCCAAAGCGCTAGAGCTGCTGCAGCAGCGCGTCAGCCACTACAAAAGCAAATCGCCCTCCATGCAAGACAACAAGACGCTGCAGGAGCGAGAGCGAGACTGGGAGAGGGAGCGCGAGAGAGAGGGCGCTCGGCCCCGGTCCTCTCCTTCCCAGCGCGTCCTGCCCTCCCATCATCACCTGGGATACCCTCTGTACGACCTGTCCTACGCTCCGGGTGAGAGCCACATCCTCTTCTTATTCCAGATGTTTTCTGATGTGACTGGAGCAGGAAACTCCATCCTGTCTGGTTCTGATCTCCTTGGTTTGAGCGTCCTTCTCAGAACCCGGCTCAGCATGCGGATTGTTTCCACATCCACGATCAGATCTCGGCGTCTCTGATTGGTTCCCTTTATTTTCAGGCCTCTCATCTTCAGCGATTGTTGCGAGCCAGCAAGCGTCCGCCCCGTCCATGTACCCGCCGCCGCGGAGGTGAAACTGGTAAGAACCTCCTGATCAACGCACAGCTGCCTGTTTTGATCTGAGGCAGCATCAGGCTGCACAGCTTCATCTGAACATTAGACTATCATTTTATATCTTTGCTTTTAAAGTCCTCACATGGTCTGGAAATATGGAAGAGACTTTATTTATTTTTCTGGCCCTGGAAAAGTTCAGCGCTCTGTTTCACGAAGCAGGTTTACTGAAAACTAGGTTTCTAAACCTGAAAATAGGAAAAGAGAGTTTCCTCTGTTTCTGTTGCCATAGTTACTTTCTCCCCAGAGTTAACCTGGTCAGCAGCAGGTTTTCTTCAGGTAGTGTCCTCTGTCTCTGCTCTCCTTACAGCCAATCACTAGGTTTTATTTCCTGAGTTTTGTGCATAAAAAAAAAAAATCATTCACTACGTTCATCAGACACATTAGGTTTTAAAAACAAACATTGCACGTACGTTTGACGAGGAACGAGCAATGTACCGCTGCAACCTCCTTGCTTTGTATTTTTTTTTCATAAAATAGGCGTTTTTCCAGTTATTACTTTGTTTTTGTCAACACCGTCAGACACAATAAAAAGCTAATTATTTTTTATTTATCTGGTCTATTATGTATTTAGAGTTTTTAAATCATTATCTGGCATTGTTAGTACACATATATGCTGTTAAATATTTACTTTTGTTAATTTTCTATACTGTTTCACAAGTGGTCCTTTAAAAGATCTAACATCATACAATGTTTACTTTAAGCCTAAAGAGAAAATGTCATGTTTTTTGTATTCAACAAACATATTTTGGTATAAAACAGAGTATTACTTTAGTGACAGAACAGCACTGAAGGAACATATTGTAAGCATATTCATTTAAAACAAATAAAATGCCCTCTGACGGTGGTGACAATGGCTTCATTACAACATACAATTAAAACTGTATATAACTTAAGTCAATGGTTTCTTTTTTATTAACTTTATTTAACTATTTGATACTATTGAAAAAATAACAATGGTGAGCACTGTGACAAACATTTTTAAAGGAATATAAGGTACAATTAAGCAATATCATTATTAGAAGTACCCCATCCCCATATCATCAAATATCAAATCATCATAGTAAAAAATAAAGTAATTACCAGTAAGAATAATGTACAATGCATCACTGACATCATGTTAAACTGTCGTCTAGTGTCCCCTACTCCTGCTACAGCCTGTCTGTTCTGAGCGGTGAAAGTGAAAAAGTGAAACCTCACTCAAGCAAGCATTCATGACACGGCGGAGACACAGTAGACATGCATGAGCTGCATTCAATTCTATTCAGTTTATTTCTATAGCGCCAATTCACAACACAAGTCATCGCGAGGCCCTTTCCAGTTCACCAGATCATACAGTCAAAGTGATTCAAAGTTTTCTATCTAAGGAAAACCAGTTGATTGCATCGACTCATTGACTCTTCAGCAATCCCTCACACTAAGCATGCTTGTAGCGACAGTGGAGAGGAAAAGCTCCCTTTTAACAGGAAGAAACCTCCAGCAGAACCAGGCTCAGTGGGAGCGGCCATCTGCTGAGGCATACTGGGGTTCAAGGAGACAGAAACAGAGATACAAAAAGCAGCTGCAAAAGGCGGGCCCATCCAGGAAACACACAGCCAGGCAGACGAGCTCCGAGCCAGCTCCCATGCCAGAGGACGAAGAGAGCACATCCAGTTAGTCACAGTCAGAGAAACAGGACTACACTGGAAAACAGGCCAAGCTCCAACATCTATAAACAAAGGTGTTGATGGCAGCAGCACAGCTGATATTTCTCTCCAGGATGGAGTCACAGCCAAACAGGAACAGACCAGATGAAGCTACTATGAGAAAAAGCAGAGAGAGCAGAACGTTAGAGATTGAACTAACAGATTCTGCAGAGTGGGAGAATAGAGATAGAATGTTGCAGAATGATGAAAAGGGGTCCCTATGTCCTCCAGCAGTCTAAGCCTATAGCAGCATGACTATATAGATATAGATATAACTATAGAGATAGCTCAGGATAACCTAAGCCACCCTAACTATAAGCTTTATCAAAAAGGAAAGTTTTAAGCCTAGCCTTAAAAGTAGACAGGGCGTCTGCCTCACGGACTAAAACTGGTAGTTGGTTCCACAGGAGAGGAGCCTGATAACTAAAAGATCTGCCTCCCATTCTGAACTTATAACTTAACTTAATCCAAACAGGAAGTCCCAGCCAGTAGAGATTGAAGAGAGAATTTTTTTAATTTCTTCATTATAATCTCTAGTTTCAGTGAGGTGAAATAGGCTCTTCCTGTTGCCTGTTGTCATGGTGACTCATCGAATCGGTGCTCCAATGATAATGGCTTTCCATACTTGATGCGTACGCGTTTAACTCAGAGTGGACCTGGTTGAAATTGATGGAACTAATTCATAGCAGCCGTTGTGAAACCGAACACTCAGAGTTCCCGACTTTAGCTTACTTCAATTTAGAGTTACGGATTTGAACCTGGATTTGTTAAACCTGCTTCATGAAACGGACCGCTGAAACGATTTCTTTCCAAACTCCTTAAAGTACAAAAAAACAACCAATTCTTAAGTTATTTGTTTAAATGATTTAAAAACAGGAGAGAGTTCTTTACCATCACCTTAGTCAATATCTCCTCCATCTGTGAGCTGAAGACTGATCAATGGTTTAGATGTTAGCAGGGATGGGGTGGGGCGACCTGTCCAGAAGCTCCTCCCTCTCTGACCTTGATGCCTGCTGCCTCCACAGGTTGGCTGGCCTCCACCCGTAGATCATGTTTGACCTCTTCAGCCTCTGGACCCAAACGCTTCTGCTGGTTCCGGGTGGTACAGCTGACCCGACGGCGCGGACCGTCACTGGATTGTCTGCTGGCCCTCAGGGCCGGGTGGTCAGAGCCGCCGCCCGGCCAGCCGCCGCCTCACTGTTTCATGTTTTGATGCTCTGGAATCTGTCGCCATTGATCACCTGGCTGCGTCCTGGAGAGACGGACTCCCTGAGAAGCTCCAGAGACCGGCTGAGGAGGCGGGGTGTAAATGTAGCGCGATGTGTGTGTGTGTGTGTGTGTGTGTGCGTGTAAATACTGTACAGAGGAATTATTTTAAGAGATCTGTTGGATGATGTCTGATTTCTTACTCTTCTTTTTGTCTGTTAGCCTGTTTTTCTACTGTTGTTGTTCTGATATTAAACCTGTAGCTGTTGGAAAGCTGCTGGAGCTCCCGTCCTTTTTTAGACCACCAGAACCGAGGGGCAGACCCAGCAGACTTTGGGGAAACTGGGTGGGAATCAAAAGAACAGATTTGGTCCCAATGAGGAGAAATTCTGTGGCAGGTCGGCTCGATCCGATTCCAGGAGGTCAGGTCTGTGATCTGTGTGGAAGTTAAGAGGAGGTAGCAGGATGCTTCCTATCCTAGCATTCCTTCAGCTCAACACTACAGGATGGAAAAACCTTCTTACTGGTCGATGTAAAAGTCTAATCATCTAAAACTGAATTAAACTTTAAACAGGAACTGCTGTATCCAGAACACCTCAAATGGAAAAGCTTTACTTTTACTTGGTTTAATTTAGTAAAAAATCTATAACAAATCTTTAGCTGTCTGAGTATTAATAAACAGAATAATTGATTTGCTAGATAGTCATTCGTTGCAGCACACAAAAAAATCCCTCTGCTAATATTCAAACTTAAATGAGCGAATCCCTCATTTAAAGTTTGATTATCATGTTCAGTTTATTTCTATAGCACCAATTCACATCATGACATCTCAGGTCAATTTATAGATCCAGATCAACCAGATCATCCAGTCAAATTGATTCAAAGCTTTCTATCTAAGGAAAAGCAGCCGATTGCATCGACTCATTGACTCTTCAGCAATCCCTCACACTAAGCATGTAGCGACAGTGGAGAGGAAAAACTCCCTTTGAACAGGAACCCCTGAGGCCGACGGGTTCAAGGAGACAGAAGCAGACATAGAAAAAGAAGCATAGATACAAAAGGCAACTGTCCAGCTCCACAGGCGGCCCCGTCCAGGAAACACACAGCAAGGCAGACGATCTCCGAGCCAGCTCCCATTTCAGAGGATGAAGAGAGCACATCCAGTTAGTCACTCAGAGAAAAAGGACTACGCTGGAAAACAGGCCAAGCTCCAACATCTAGAAACAAAGGTGTTGATGGCAGCAGCACAGCTGATATTTCTCTCCAGGATGGAGTCACAGCCAAACAGGAACAGACCAGATGAAGCTACTATGAGAAAAAGCAGAGAGAGCAGAACGTTAGAGATTGAACTAACAGATTCTGCAGTCGGAGAATAGCGATAGAATGATCAAAAAGGGGTCCCTATGTCCTCCAGCAGTCTAAGCCTATAGCAGCATAACTATAGAGATAGCTCAGGATAACCTGAGCCACTCTAACTATAAGCTTTATCAAAAAGGAAAGTTTTAAGCCTAGCCTTAAAAGTAGACAGGGTGTCTGCCTCACGGACTAAAACTGGTAGTTGGTTCCACAGGAGAGGAGCCTGATAACTAAAAGATCTGCCTCCCATTCTACTTTTAGAAATTCTAGGAACCACTAGTAAACCTTCGGCACTAAAATAAATCCCTCTGCTAATATTCCATATTAAATTAGCTAATCCCTCAGTCTGCTCTGACCTTTCTGATCCAGAGGCTCAGTGTTGGGAGTCCAGTCCAGTTTGTTGTTCACTATCTTAATGTCATTCCCTGGATGTTCACTGGTGGCAGTGGGGTGGATCTGCTTCTGTCCACCACTACAAAGCCTTTTACTGGGGATTTATCAGAACAAACATGGACGCTGTTTTCAGATATTCTACTCGGCCCGTTATCCTGGTCCTGACTCGCCTCATCCAGTCAAAGCACGGCCCTAAATCCTGACCTGTTGGCAGGCATGAAGAAGCTGGATCCCTGGAGATGCTGCTTCTTTGGCCCAAAGGACGCCGTTGGTTCTGATGAGCCTGAGCGGTTAAAGTCCAAAACCAGACCCAAACTACTGCCTTTAGATCCGAGGTCTTCAACAGGGGGTCCACAGAGGTACAGCATGGGGGCCGCTAAAGTTTTGGTTGATTATAAGTTTTTTTTTTATATTCCCTCCTATAATTTTTCCCGCTAATTGAAATGTCTTTAAATCCACATTAACATGAATTCAACAGACTGTAGTAAACAGATAAATGGAGGCAGAAGATGTCTTTCAGTCATCAATATACAGGTGCTGGTCATAAAATTAGAATATCATGAAAAAGTAGATTGATTTCAGTAATTCCATTTAAAAAGTGAAACTTGTATATTATATTCATACATTACATACAAACTCATATATTTCAGATGTTTATTTTGTTTAATTTTGATGATTACAAATGACAACAAATGAAAATCTCAAATTCATCATATCAGAAAATTAGAATATTACTGAAGACCAATAAAAACAAAGGATTTATAGAAATGTTGGCCAACTGAAAAGTATGAACATGAAAAGTATCAGCATGTACAGCACTCAGTATTTAGTTGGGCCTCCTTTGGCCTGTATTACTGCAGCAATGCGGCGTGGCATGGAGTCGATCAGTCTGTGGCACTGCTCAGGTGTTATGATAGCCCAGGTTGCTCTAATAGTGGCTTTTAGCTCTTCTGAATTGTTGGGTCTGGTGTATTGCATCTTCTTCTTCACAATACCCCATAGATTTTCTATGGGGTTAAGGTCAGGAGAGTTTGCTGGCCAATTAAGAACAGGGATACCATGGTCCTTCAACCAGGTACTGGTAGCTTTGGCACTGTGTGCAGGTGCCAAGTCCTGTTGGAAAATGAAATCTGCATCTCCAAAAAGTTGGTCAGCTGCAGGAAGCATGAAGTGCTCTAAAACTTCCTGGTATGTGGCTGCGTTGACCCTGGACCTCAGAAAACATAATGGACCAACACCAGCAGATGACATGGCACCCCAAACCATCACTGACTGTGGAAACTTTACACTGGACTTCAAGCAACGTGGATGAAGTGCCTCTCTTCTTTTCCTCCAGACTCTGGGACCTTGATTTCCAAAGGAAATGCAAAATTTACTTTCATCAGAGAACATGACTTTGGACCACTCACCAGCAGTCCAGTCCTGTTTCTCTTTAGCCCAGGCAAGACGCTTCTGACGCTGTCTGTGGTTCAAGAGTGGCTTGACACAAGGAATGCGACAGCAGAAACCCATGTCTTTCATACGTCTGTGTGTGGTGGTTCTTGAAGCACTCACTCCAGCTGCAGTCCACTCTTTGTGAATCTCCCCCACATTTTTGAATGGGTTTTGTTTCACAATCCTCTCCAGGGTGCGGTTATCTCTCTTGCTTGTACACTTTTTTCGACCACATCTTTTCCTTCCCTTCGCCTCTCTATTAATGTGCTTGGACACTGAGCTCTGTGAACAGCCAGCCTCTTTAGCGATGACCTTTTGTGTCTTGCCCTCCTTGTGCAAGGTGTCGATGGTCGTCTTTTGGACAACTGTCAAGTCAGCAGTCTTCCCCATGATTGTGTAGCCTATAGAACTAGACTGAAAGACCATTTAAAGGCTTTTGCAGGTGGTTTGAGTTAATTAGCTGATTAGAGTGTGGCACCAGGGGCCATCAATTTTGAACCTTTTCACAATATTCTAATTTTCTGATATGATGAATTTGAGATTTTCATTTGTTGTCATTTGTAATCATCAAAATTAAACAAAATAAACATCTGAAATATATGAGTTTGTATGTAATGTATGAATATAATATACAAGTTTCACTTTTTAAATGGAATTACTGAAATCAATCAACTTTTTCATGATATTCTAATTTTATGACCAGCACCTGTATATAATTAGGGGGTCCCTGATCCATCTCACCATCAGTTTGGGGTCCTTAGCCTGGAAAACATTGAAGGCCCCTGGATTAAATTATAATTAAATGACTGAGATCTTTTACTTTTGAGATTTACAAACCGTTTCAGAGTATTTTGTAGAGCAGCCATTAAACGACATGACTTGGATCAAACGTGTCAACAAGTTTCTAACAGTTTGCTGAAGTTTTGGCCCATTCCTCCTGACAGAACTGGTCAGAACCTTTTCAACGTAACAGACGGCAGAGCTCTACGAAGGCCACAGCGTGAGCTTGGATGGATCCAAATCCTTTTATTTAGAATAGGGATGCAACTAACAATTATTTTGCAAACCAATTAATAATCGGATTGCCAAAGGTTCCTTTAAGTTGAAACTATAACGTTCTTGACAGAGCAGTTTGACAGACAGAAGTATTTTTTTAATCTTAAATGCAATCAATCTTGGTATAATTCCTGCTCTAAGTGGGTCACTCTGTCTGCTAAAGGCAGGTTTTAGAGTCTATACTCCAGTTAATGATTAATCAATTACTAGATTAGTTCACTATTTCAATAACTGATTAATCCCATTAATTGTTTCAGCCCTAATTTAGAACATCAGTAAAATCCCACATTGCTGAAATAAAGTGCTGCAGAGAGTCCAGCAGGTTTGTGCTAAAACGTTTGCTGATCAAGGCTAGGGGGCGCCGTTTGTAAACTAAAGCTGTCAAAAATTAAAAGTAATGTTTACAGTTATTTAGCATGTTTTAAGAGAAAAACGTTTTTTTTTTTTTTTCCCCCATTTATTTTCTCACTACGCCATTCATTTATAAAAATGTTAAATATTTAGTTTGGAGCCAGATATTTAATTTGCTAACTACATATTTATTTAAGAAAGTAATTTTATAAATGACAATGAAAAAAATAACCCCCTTATTTTTCTCTTACAACATGCTAAATAACCATAAATATTAAATTTTTTTTTTTGCTTAACTTTACAAACAGCGCCCCCTACAGGGCTAGAAAATAAAATGGGCTGCATAAAGCCACCTTAACAGATTCTATCACCCTAAATGACAGAAGTGCAGAGGCATCAGGAAACAGTACAAATACTTTAACTTCAGTTGAATTATTGGCCATCTATGCTTTCCTGCAATAATAATTTTTTAGACAACTTTTTCCTTTCTCCTCCTATTACTTAAAAAACATTGGTCTCAGTTTATGTTTCATTTAACCTCATTTTGATTCTGGCCTGTTGGCATTTAAAAAGTTTCATCCACATAATTTCTCTGTGGTTGGACTTGGTGCTGCCCCAACTTGTTGGTCACCACAAACCAAAATGAAGTTTTTCAAGATGATGCAAAGTTAAATGTGATGCTGTTACCATTA